GTAAGGATGCAGTGCTTGGGCTTGAGCAGCCATTCCCTGGTCCAAACAGTGGCACATGAGGGAGGCAAGGAAGTCATTAACCCTATGTGGGTTCTGACACCAACTTATATAGAGCTTCCACCAGATTTGAACTTCCAACGTTGATGGTGGAAATTAGAAAAACCAAAGGTGCATACAAGTGGGGCAGAGGAGTTTCCCTGGATGGGCTAAATGACTGAGTCTCTTCAAAGTCACTTTATACAGCTGTGAACCAAACTAACTTGCGCTAACGGAAATAGTAAAACTAAATTAAGATGGATTAAAATTTAAAATAGATATTAATATGACCCCGGAGCTAAAATTTCTAAAACCAAAAAGGAAAAAAGCTGCTGAACTCAGGCTAAAAGCCTACAGAATAATGGTGTAATGAAGTGTACAGCGCTAAATGCCCTTCAGGAAATTAGATAACGGTAGGGATCATATGGTGTCACCTCCGTGTCAAGCAATCGTGAAACAGTGTATATATAATAAATATTTGTGTAAAAACTTATAGTACGTTATAAAATGTGTCAGCAGGTGTCATAAAAGGCGTGTCATACATGAACCTTATTAAATAAATAAACAAAAATCTTCAAAGAACATGTGTCATATATGTGAAAAAAATATTATTGTGAAAACAATATTAAATAAATAAATAAACATGTGTCATATATGTGAAAAATAAATATATCACAATATAAAACAGTCTGTGTTGTTTTCTTTTGAAAATAAGTAGAAGTATGCACTTATAATATAAAAAATGCACCCAAAGTTCTTAAAGCTCTCCGATCTTCAAAACAAAAAAAGCCCAGAAGAATGAGAATAAAAATCAAAATCAAAAGAAATGTCCAATATTATGAAGTGTCCAACGAAAAAACGATAGAAAAAAAAAGGCAGGCAGGTCCCCTATAGGGAATGCACTCACCAGATCCCTGATGGTCGAAAGCCTTTATTCTTATCCAATGGAGGCCGAAGATGTATGTCCTCTTCTCCCGTTTGGTGAAAGCCTCAGGCTACAGAACCCGCTTGCTTCTCCGAGGTGAAGGGATTACAATCTTTGTTGTTAGGTCTCCTCTATTGGGTATCCATCCGGACAAAGAACACAAGAAATGCGCTCATAGCGTAGTAAGTTCAACTTTAATGGGTCCAAAATAATAAATACAGACAAACAAGCGCTCTATAAAAATTCCATAAAAATCAATGTGGAAAGCCGGCTAGTCACTCAATCTGAGTGCAAAAAGGACTGGAACAATGACGTAAAGGTAGGCCCGCCCCCGACGCGTTTCGTCACATGGACGTTCTCAAGGGATGACCTGTCCATGTGGACAGGACCTGACCTGTCCAGGGGATGACGCGTCCATGTGACGCGTTTCGTCACATGGACGTTCTCAAGGGATGACCTGTCAACAACTTTATACAGCTGGCTGTTAGTTCTCTTGAAGATCAAGCTGCCATCCAGTCAATAATTTGCTGATCAGGATATATTTTGATATTGCGCCTTTCTTTGACCCTTGTAATGTGCAACGATTTTCTTTGTGGCTCACCTATTGTAGTCAGTTTTTGGCAGTGAGGCCCAACATTCTAACATTATGTAAAAAAAGACGCAAAACTTATTTGATAAACAATGCTATCAGAGAGGCTGATCTGATGTTTAGCGCCGTCATTACTGGCTGAATGTATTATACCTGAAACAAAGGTTTGCGTGAGAAATCTAATTAGGAAAACAAATATAGTAAGTTGGAATAGCCTCCATACCCTTGGTTCCTGAAATAGTAAGGGAAGACAATTAATTGTTAATTTGGCCCTAAGGTCATGGACTCAGTTTCCCATAAGGTTCTGTAGCAGAGAAGCTATTCCAGTTCACATGATGTTATTTGTTCTAAACAATTAATGGTGTTTTTCCTGTCCTTTACATAATTGAAATCCAAGGGCTGCTGGTGACTTATTATCAAGGCTTCTTAACTGTGTAACTAATACAGCTCATCTCTACCATTGTTACAAATATAATCTTGTAAGGCAAGGCAATCATTCTTGAAATGCACAGATTGTTTGTTGTATAAATGTAACTTGGGAATTAGTAGATGTAAGTTCATTTAGTATACATGGACGGATGTCTGCTAACCCTATGTTTCAAACATGTAAACATCTCTCATTGAATTCTAACTATAAAGATCCTTCATTGAATATTTTTTTATAAAGTGGATAATTGATGAGGCTTTGCAAATGCAGAGAGACAAGAAACACAGTTGATACTGTTTAAACCTTTGGTTCTCAACCGGTGGGTCGTGACCCAAAAGTGGGTCGCGACCCCATGTTCAGTGAGTCACAGCGTGCCTTCCACTTTTCTAGGTGAGAGGCTCCCCTGCCACCACCTTTTGCACCACTGTCATTGCTCACGCCAAAATATGCTGCCCGCCACTGAGTGTAAGCTTGAGACGGAGTGGGCTGCGGCTATGGCTGCGAGGGTGCTCCATCCATAGGTACAGCTCCCTCATGTGTCCTATAGTGGTGCCTGGACTGTAGTGACTCTATTATGGCTCCCGGCACCTCTACAGGGCTGTACAAACAATGCACATATGGATGGAGCTCCGTCACAGCACAGCAGCCCATACTGCACCCCAGACTGAAGAACCACTCCAGTTCCCATGAGATAGGGAGACTTTGTGAATCTTAAAAAAAAAAAAAAGAAATATATTTTTTTGGAGTGTTTGTGCGATTGTGAATATCTGTGAATGTGTGAGATTGTCTCTGTTGTTGTGCGAGTCTGTCAGTGTTTTTGAGGGCCCGTTCACACTTGTACAGTGCAATAATCGCACAGTCCGTCTGCATTATGCAATCACACCAACCGTGCGGTCTGGTGTGGGAGGTGTGTTACATTGCCATTCATTTGACTGGCATCCCAAACGCACCTGCCACCCAAAGTCAGATCTTAGTGTGACTTGGGTCGCAACTTAAAGGGGTTCTAAAGTCCCCCATTTTTTCGCCTATATCTACTGCTACAAAGCAGTAGATATAGGCAAAATGTTTGTTTTTTTTTAAAAAACCCGCCTAAACAGCGGTTTAGACTGACCTTATTATCGCTGCGCGCTCCCGCGGAGAGAGTCCGGAACTGTTTGTGCGGCCACAAAGGATCTTGGGGCATGCGCAGTTCGGATTCTCGGCCCGGAGACAAGCAGAGGCGCAAGGTAAGCCTATGGACGCGTGCACCCGCATGCAGACACCGCTGGATCGGAAGTGCCTGGAAGCAGAGAGGAGTCAGCGCTGGATCGGAGAGCCGCCGCACCGCTGGATGGACAGATGAAAACATGGGGAGAGAAGAGGAAGATCAGATTAAGAGACATCATTTAAGGTAAGTGCTGACATTAACATGGGGGGGAGGGGAAAAAAATATATCCTTTAATGTCACTTTAATGACCATGGACAAATGTGGGTCTTGAGGTTACACAGGTTGAGAACCATTGGTTTAAACCTTAACTTCAGCTATCTCCATGGTTTTGCCCAATATGTTATTGTAAAGTAAGGAAATGAAATAAATAGTTTGGTTAAAAGTATGTACTATCTATCATACTTCCTTTTGTCTATGCTGGCTCGTAAGGAAACCACTGTGTCCAGTACAATTGCTGACTGAGAAGAAGTCATACATGATGATGATTGGCCATTCTTTAAAAATGCAAAGATCACCTAACAACCTGATTATACTTGTTTGTGGAAAACTGACTTCACTTTGATACTAGGGTGGTGATTTATCTAATTTCTTGACAAAGCCCCACCAAGGCCAGTCTACAGTTTAAAGAGGATGTTCTTACTGGGTAGTGAAGCACTCGTAGTGAATAGGAGTATGGCAGTTTGTGGTAGTTAGTTACAAAGCTGTGCACAGAAGGGAGTTTTCTGCTTAATAAAAGTAATAGTGGGTTTAAACCTAGGCATGCGTTTTGCTTTTGAATATATGGTTTGCTTTAAAGTATACCCAGCTGCTTAGAACACCCTCTCATACTTTTATTTCTGTATAAATCCTCTCTCAAGAGATTTCCACTCTCTATTCTTGGTGACCATCGTCTTTGTTGCACAAAGTGATAGGAAATCAGATGGTACATGAACAGGAGGGTGAGAAATCTTCTTAGGTACTCCCAGTTTGCCTTTAATATCTTGCTAGAAAATAAAACTTTTTTTCTTGGGTTCTCTAAGGAATAAAATGTGTTGTATGCCATTATATACAATAGTCCACAAAAGAAAATAGACTTGTAAACTTTGATTCCTATATTTATAGCCACAAGTTTTTCCCATGCAATGAATGCAGGGGTCATATTAATAAGGGTTAGGAAGGGAATTTGTGAAAAAAATAAGAGATTTATTTTCCACAAATGTTCTGAATTCCATGTTCTAAAAATATCTCCAGCTATTTTTATGTACTCAAAGAGTTATGTCAGGGAGCAGAATAGAATAGGATTCCATGGTTGAACTCTTTGTTATAAATAGCAAATCGTACTGAAGAGCAGATGTGGGCAACTACAACACCCAGCAGCTGCCGGATTTCTGGGCTCAGACTTAGAGTGGCGGGGTGCTGGACCCCACGTTTGCTGGTGGTTTAGAATGAGTCAGATTATTATAGTGTGGTAATCTTTTTTGCCTGGTGGAGCCACAAGAGGTCCCTGGAAAAGTTCACTTACATGAAGTGATAGTATGAGAGTGCTAAGCCCTAGCAATTGGTTCAAAGATAATATTTATTTGTCACCAGAAAACAGTCTATCCAGAGTTCACCTACAACAGGTTTCAGGGGTTAGTTCCAATTCTCACTTCATCAGGGCTTATATTTCATGTGTAAAATGAATCTGAACAGATGGGTAATCCTGGGTATTAATTCTTTATAAGTTGCAGTTAGAAGCTTGCTCAGTTATGTTGTCTGGCAGTCTTTGTGGGAGCAGCAGAGTTGGTGAGGATATTCCGCAAGCTGCAAATAAATTTGTACCTTCTATTTTGTACAGGTGGAAGAACAACTTATTAGCGGCAGATAAATGTGCACGGTACATAATCAACAGCAATAGCCTAACCATTAAAAATGTGGCGGAAGAAGATGCAGGTGAATACACAGTGGTCCTGCGACTAAAACAATGGAACCTGGTCAAAAACCTAACCATGACCCTCAAAGTCAATGGTAAATTGATTTTTTTTTTCGTTTAGTCATTTTCTCAACTTGCACATTTTTTATAGAGAAAGCAACTAATATTGCAATCTTCTTCTTTTTTTTTTACAGTGAAGCCTCACATTTATGAAAAATCAACATCAATCCAAGAACCAGATCCCCGTAAACTAGGCAGCAGGCAAATACTGACATGTACAGTGTATGGTGTTCCACCACCTTCCATAACTTGGACCTGGCATCCATGTCCGAGGAACTATTCTAGGTCAAGGTGAGTATCGTGGGAGCAACACTTAACTATATGGTTAATGTATACGTTTGTAATTTAAAGCCCTGTTGAAGTCACATAAATAAATATGAATTCACAGTTTGAAAGTCAGGCTTTGTACTAACAACCTCCGTTTTCCTATTCACATGTCCACTTCCCTGTTATATCAGTTGTGCAGGATGTCTTAATATGACTGTGCAGTTCAATATCCACCAGAGTTGGACCCAGTACACTTTGTAATTCAGCAGAGATGGTAAGATACACCCTTCTCCCCTTGTCTGCAATATAAGCCCGTGTTTGCTATAGTGTGTGGTTGTCCCTCAGCTCCGCAAACACAGAACACTGGTGTGAGGGCTGGAAGCAGCATTTTCCCTGGGAGAGGTATTTTGAGGCATTTACTAGCAGAAATCAATCACAAATCATAACTCGAGGGGTACAAGACTATAAAGAGATATAAATGTTTGATACTTTATTTGGACAAAAGACAGCAAATGACCTGTTACAATGAGTATTAGGTGCCACAGCTGATGCTCCTATTGTGTGCTCTGGGCTGCCATTGTCCACAGTCAGTGATCATTTCAGGGCAGGACAGACAGACTAATACTGCAAAAACTAGCTCTGCACTCATGCTATAACAATTTACAGGAGCCAGGTAATAGCATCCATCCCATTGCCTGGCCACACTAATGTTTTTTATGTGTCAAGGTGCAGCTACAACTGCTGGCCACACTCATTAGTTTTGTATTCATTTTCTTTAAATGAAATAAAAATGTTTAAATGATCTACAACACTTTTGTAGTCTCTGAGAAATCAGCAGGTGGCTCCGACCATGGATGTCCACGTAAGACACATAAAACTAAAAAAGTCCACCTTAAACTAAAAAAGATAAAAATATTGTTTAGGTGTTTTAATATGTGAAGTACATTTACTTTACAGCTGTACCCGCCCCTCCCCCGTCCGATCCGCCAGTTAGCGCTGTAGCTCGCGGTATACTGAGCTTAGGGTAACGGGAGGACGCTAGTTTGTGTCCTCCCGTTACTCTAAGGAGAACTATGGGGAAAAGCCCTGACCTCATAGTTCTCCTTTAAGGCCAGATGGTCATTATAACAGCCAGGCAACTATCATTTTCAGAAGCAATGACGGTCCATCTATTATGCTTCTTACTGTTGTACTTTATGGTTCAAGTGAGAAAAACAAATAGCTCAATCCTGAGTGACAGTGTTCTGCATGTTTTAGCCTTGAGTCCATGTTCATTAACTTTCTGACGTCCCAAGCTGAAAAGAGTTCATATGGTGAACTGCTTCAGATTTGTTATTTTGTACCATACAAAAAAGGCTTTATAATGGAATATTAAGCCCTTAAGTCTAAGCAGGAACGGGCCCCAATAATATAAAATTCCTCTTGCATACTTCACCATCTGGTTTCAATGTGTTATATACGGATGAGAAAATTATTTCCCAAAATCTCTGGCAATTACTTAATTAGTAATTCTTCAGATAGTTTTGTGGATTTAAAAAAATAAATAAATAACAGGAAATGGTGTGGATACTTGACCACGGTTTTTCTACTTCAGCCTACTCAGACTGCTTGCTTGATTGTCTTACAACTACTCTAAAATTGTTATTATGCTATGCTATGTGTATATCGGGACAGAGGGAAACAAAACCCTGGGGTTGGTTACTAAAGGAATAGAGCATGAATAATGGTAAAGTGAATATTCACTTTGCAAGGTAAATGTTCACTGAGTTTGGTGAATGAAGTGAAGCTGTTTTCCTTAATCATCTAATCATGTGCGAGTCAAAATACAGTTTTTATTTTCCTATAAAATAAGCTAATTGAACAAACACTTTGCTAAGTGAACATCCTCTACTCCCTCAGTAAATTACCCCCATTGCAGAAAGCTGTTAAGCCATATTGTTCTGTTTTGATTGGACAGATTTTTGAACTGTTTGCTGGAACTTTATGTCGTTTTATTTCTAGTCACTGAAAATGTAGTCACCAGTCAATTCATGAATCCAGCTATTCATGACTCATTTATATATGATATGTATATTTGTAGAACATCTGAATACAAATATCCAACAAAAATATTGTTCTTAACTGTCTTATTTGCTCACCGCTAAAGGCCCAAGGTAAGACCTGTCCGTATTAACTCATAGTTACCGATCTATGGTTAAATCACAGTAACTGATCTCTGGTAAATGACAGTTGGAGAAAGTATCAGTCTAAACGGTGACATTAAGGCCCCGTTCACATTGAGCGATTTATCGCGCGATTTTTGTAGCGATATCGCTCATATTTCCGCACTATATCGCTCTATGTCGCTTCACCAATACAATTCAATGTAGCTGTTCACATCTCGTCGCTCAATGTCGCTCAATATCGCTCAATATCGCTTGTAGCTCGTCGCTGGTAGCGTGTCGCTTCTACATGACCCTTTTTTAGAGCGATTTTGAGCGATATTGCTCCTGATTGCATACAGCCCAATAGGAAGATGTCGCGCGATGTCGCGCGACACGTCGCTCAATGTCGCTCAATGTCGCTCAAAGTCGCGCGATTTGCATGTCGCTCAGTGTGAATGGGGTCTTAGATAATACTGTCAGTGTGTTAAAATCAAAGTTTCAGATTCCAGCTGTCAGAATGTAAGAATATCATTGTTGACTGTTGGGATCATAGGGGTTTCTGTACAAGAACATTGGTCGTTGCTTATTGCAACTGAACAAAATAGATTCACCTTTTCATTGCAAAAATGACAACTGGGAGCTGACCAGTTCATATGGACAACAGGAAATGATCTGGAGACTTAAGCCCCAAACAGTTCTTGGTTAGAATGTGCTAAGCAATGAAGATGATTACATACAGAAAGAAGTGTTCATGTGTTTTCACAGCTATGGGGATCTGCAGGGACCATTCTCTGTAGTTATCGATAGTTGGTTATGGAATGCTGTCATATGAACAGCTTAATGTTTGCCTATGGATCCCTTATAGTAGGGGTAGGCAAACTCTGGCCCTCCAGCTGTGTTGCAACCACAGATCCTATGAGGCTCTGCAAGACACCCACAAGCATGACTGCCAGAAGCAGATGCATTATGGGATTTATAGTTTCGCCACAGCTGGAGCGACGGAGTTTGCTTACCTATGCCTTATAGCAACATGTGAAATTTGATCATTGTGTTTGGTTACATTGGGTACTTCAAGAGCCAACATAAGAAAACAAGGTATTGCATTTCTTATCTGGGAACTCTAAGCTAAACCTTTTTGGTATTTGATCATGAATCAGTCTTCAGTTATCCTGTATGTATGTACACTGAATATGTACTCAATCATTGTATCATCACATAAGAGAATGACTCTTTTAAAAAGCAGGAATATATACAGTAATATGAGGCGCATTATGAACTAAACACAAGGATGTCACACTGGGTTTATTTTATCTCTCCTCAAACATCAAATCAGAGGTTCCTATGTTTTTTACTCCCCCTGCATGTGATTTGGTGTTTTTAAGGCTTTTTGGATAAAATGTAAATATTACACTTCAATATATAATGTACTAAATTACACATATAATAAGTTTTGGATATAGTGTGGGAGGGTTAGACCATCTGTCAAGTTTTTATTGCTGTTTGTCCCAATTTCCATTTGTTCTGGTGACCACTGTCACCAAGTAATAAAGTGAGGGGAAATCCAAACTTTTAGGCAAGGAAAAAGGGGAAATCTTCCAATGGAGAAACCTGTTCTGGGGACAGCTGTATAAGAGGAGAATTTCCTTCACTTTAGGAGATTTCCTCTAGCTTCTTGTTGCATCCCTGGGACAGGAAGTGAAGGTGAATTCCTCTAATGGAACACAGATAGCATTAAAAAAAACCCTGGCAGGGTAAAACCATTCCTTTATCTATCCAAAACTAAAAAAAAAGTTTGGCTATACATACATTTTAAGCCCCCACCTACACTCCCCAGCAGCATGTCCTCACCACTTCTTCACTCCCCTAGTACTCCATTTAGCCACCAGCAGCAAAATTAGTGAGTATATGACTGAGTTCTCCTTCCCATGTCACAGTCCTGGTGCCTTGTGATTGGTTCAGCATTGTCCTTGCTGCAGGGGCGGGGAAGGAGTTCATAGCCCTGTGAAAGCTCCAACAATAAGTTTGGAGCTTGCACTGTGCTTTCTATGGCTTGTTGCAGTGACCAAACAGAGCTACTGGGGAGGGAGGATTATAGGACCCTTTTACATTGCTATGCATGTATAATGCATTGTAAAAAACAATGGTGACTTGCAGAGGTAGGTGAACCACAACAATTGTTTTGTCTATATCAGTAGTCTCTTAATTAATTGGACTGCTGTAAGGTAAAATATGGCTGGTTGCTATGAGTTTGCATTGCTTCTAAATGGCTTATTTAGCATGACATGTTTGTGCAGTAACCCCTTTTAGTCAGCTAGATTCATGTTTAAGTAATCCCGACCTTAGTAAACTAAAATCGTATTGGAACCTCCGTAAAGGAAGGAGAAGGAAGGAACCGTCTGAACTTGCATCCTGCATGTGTGTTCCAAGTCACTGGGGTGATTTACTATAGGAACAGAACATGTTCACTTTGCAATGTGAATGTTAACTTAGGTTAGTGAATAAAGTCATATTTACTTGGAATACCCAATCATATGCAAAAAAAAATGTCCTACTTGTTTAGTACGTCAACACCAGTGACTTTCAAAGTAGTAAAGGAAGGATCATAAAGACCACCACGGAGCATGCAACTTTCAAAAATGAGTCAGCAATCACAGCACTCATTTTTCAGCCCACACAGGTTCATTTTAAAGAAATATTACAATATAGCAGGCTACCAATAATCCCGGAACTCAAAGAAATGATTACAAAAAGGGATCTCTCTGCACATTTGTGCATCTGCTGTCAAGTAATAAATGGAAAGCATTAGTATTCAGGACAGGTTCCCTTTAAGTAAATACATCTTTGGCTAGTCACTGAAGCTGTTCTATGAAAGGAAGTGAT